GCGGTACCTGGTTAGGACGGGGGTAACCATCCGTCTCAGCCTTCCGTCCGGTACCTAGGTACCGTTACACGGTAGGGGGTACCGTGTACCTCTTCAGTGAAACGTGCCACGGTACGTTCACTTGGCTACCGGCGGTACCCTGGTGCCGTGTACACGGTAGCCTGGTACCGTTAGGCCAGTGTAAATTTTCCAAAACTCGTTTTTCGTGTTCCGTTTTCAAAATGACCCCAACTTAGAATATATTTGACATTTAAAATTAATTTTTGAGTGAAAGGGCATAAGTAAATCATTAAAATATATTATTACCTTTACACAATAATTTCTAAACTCGTAGGAGTATATCTCGGAGATGCTAAACAAGCTAATAGAGGTTTGGTGTTTGGTTTCTTCCTGCAAATGATGTTAGTAGCATTTGAAAGACTTATTTGGCACATCAAAATGGTTACGGGGTACTGCATTCAAGGCCAACAATCATGCAATTTGTTTAGACTCTGTTTGGGATCATCGTTAGCGATTATCGTTAGTGTTTTAAAAAGGTTATCCAAGGATACCCTTTAGCGTATGTAAATATTTTTAGAATTAATCTATACCATTAAAACTTTATTCAAAATGCTAACGCTAATAAAAAAAAAGGTTGTCCAACGATAGCCTTTAGCGTAAATATTTTTAGAATTAATCTACACCATTAAAATTTCAAAAAATTGCTGCTAGGTACTCCCAATTTTGTGATAAAAACTCGCAGGTCCCATTATTTTTCAAAATATACTCCGGGGTACCTTAAAATTTCCAAACAGTCACTCTCGGGTGACAATCCGTCTCTGTGTTCGTCAATGTTCCCCTCTCCGTTATCTTGTTCTCCTTCTTCATCCTCTTTTGATCTCCTCCTCCTTTCTTCTTTCTTCTTCTTTCTCTTCCTTTCTTCTTCTTCTTCTTCTTCTTCTTCTTCTTGATTGGGGATAGGGATGGCAACGGGTCGGGTTCGAGTCGGATAGTACTATACCCGAACCCGACCCGACTTTTAAAACCGAAACCCGAACCCGACCCGAAACCCAACCTTTTAAGCCAAAAACCTGACCCGACACGAACCCGACATTTCAACCCGAAACCCGAACCCGACCCGAACCCAACTTTTAACCAATAATCAATTCGATGTACCTCAATAATTTTGAAAAGATTAAATCTAATTTTTTTGTGTCTCTTTTTTTATGTCTCATTTTTTATTAAGGGATTATAAAAATGATTATAAAAGGCATATTATTAAATGGATAAATTTTCAAGGCGTGTGATCAATCAGAATGTTATCGGTGTATTTGTTATCTAATGCAATTTATTGTATTTAGGCCCGTAGTTTGTGTTTGGGCCTACGACTTGTTTAGTTGTATATATATTTGACCTTGTGCATAATAATAGAGCAAGAAGTTATTTTCCAAAATTCTACATGGTATCAGAGGTTTCCTGAAGAGTCACGTAACCCTAGAATCGTTGTTCTTCGTCTCTGCACATGTCCCGCCACCATAGTTCGACGGCATGAAAGGCATGTCCAGCAACCATCGCGTGTCAGCTCATCATCAGTCCGCGAGTCGTTGCTGTGTTTCGTTCGTCGAAATGGAGGTCTCCACCATAGTCCGTTGCCCTCTCTTTTGTTCATGGTAAACAATGTCAGTGAAGAAGGAACATCTAATTCACGATCCATCAACAATGTATTATCTTCATCCGTCTAAAGGTCCTAGTAATTCCCTAACAAAGTATGTTCTTCGTAGTGATCATTATGAAGTTTGGGAAAAAGATGTTCGTCATGCCCTTGGTGGTCTTGGTAAGGCTAAACTTTTAACTCATATGGGTGTGCCAAAACTCAATCGAGGATGAGAACAAACTTGCTGTTTGGGAATCTTATCATTGCATATCTATAGTTGGATTTGTAACACTATTAATGAATCCACCAAACATATTATTATTAATCATATTGTTGCCTATCAATTATGGGAGGATCTAAAGAAAAGGTATAGGGGTTCTCATGGACCTCGTATGTATCAATTGAAGTGTGAGTTGAACACTTTGCGCCAAATAAAAGGGACATAGTGTTATTGCATACTATAATCAGTTTATCACTCTAGAGAATCAACTTTATGGTTGTAAAGATCCTAACGGAGGGTGCATATGTGCCATGGATGCTGTCATTTGCACTCGTTCTAAGCATAAAAAGACAATAGATTTCTTGTTAGGTCTTGATGATGAACAAATTGGACATGCTCTCACCTAGATGATTATAAGTACTAAACTTATTCTTGTTGGCCCAGCAGTCCTCCCGACAATGGTTCTGCAACCATCGCCACCCATGGGTTGGATGGTGCACATGTAGTTAATACATTGTCTTCTGGTAGTTTAAGTGATCAAATGGCACATCTCATGTTAATATTTGAGTCGTCTACATCCCAACAATATAATAGTATGTGTTGTACTTCGTGTGAATGGTTAATTAATAGTAGAGCATCCTAACATATGACTAAACAACAATCTCATATGTTTGATATTAAACCTATTTCTCCATGTGGGAATAGCTTGCCGGGTGGGTCTCGGGTTCAAGCCCATAAGCAAGGAAGTGTTAAACTTGCTTCTTATCTTATTTTATTTAGTGTATTGCTTGTTCACAACTTGAACTGTCATTTGAGCCCTATTAGATTTCGTATTCGGAATAATCATATATTTTTTAATGAAAATTATGGTGTAATACAATACCGTTCGTTAAATTTGGAGATTGGACGCGGTGAATTACAAAATGGAGTATATGTTTTTTGTAGTTCCTTGGGCCAAGTTCATCTTTCTATTGTTGATCCTTTGCCTCTTCACCAGCGTCTGGGTCATCCGTCCTCCTAAGTGTCTTCTCTTGTTAATTCTAATAACCACACTTCTCACATTAAGAAGTTACAAACATGTGATATTTTTATTTTATGTCCAAAAAACACTTTTTTGTTGTTTCCTACAAGTATTAATATAGCATATTCTATTTTTTATTTAACTCCTTGTTTGTGTGTGTGTGTGTGTGTGTGTCTATATATATATATATATATATATATATACATATACATATACATATACATATACATATACATATATATATATATATATATATATAGATATATATATATATATATATCTGTGTGTGTGTGTGTGTGTATATATATATATATATTGATATATATTGATGGTGTAAATTACCTAACCGGGTAAACTATTTTAGACCGGGTCTAGGATTGTTTACTTGATTCGGAAAGTAAAAAGGTAAAAACGCGCAAATATGACCGGGAGGACTTTAGGTTGAAACACCTGTAGCCCAATTAATATTATAACAGAGAATGCACGGGTGCTTTTACAAGGGAGTTTTTTGAAAATGAATTCGGATCCCTACTTCTGAGGATTGCAGCAGTATTTATACTAAGTTAAGGGGGACAGAGTATCATGCAGCCACGTTGAGGCACGTTCTCGGGCGGTGGGAGGTGATGGGCTTCGTCCTTTAGCTGCCTCGTCCTCTTGTGAGGAAGATTACTCCTTTGTCAGGTAGCGCCTTGGATGGATTCCTTTGTTCGAGTATCTCCAGCGATCCTCCACAGATCTTGGTTGCTACGATCCAATCTCGTTTGGATTCTTCTCTGCCGACACTTTCCAACCCTAAAAACCACACCTGGTGATTTATGAGGGATAAGTTTATCGAAATTCGGGACTAAATGAGGCGATGAAGTAGTTTGACCGGTTAATTATTTAGTCCTCTCTTTTAACCGGTCCTGGGTGGAATACACCTATTAATAAGCCCTCCACTTCGCGGTCATGAAATTTGTCATGAGCGGGAAGTAAAAAACTTAAACAGGACCTCAAATTCGAATTTTAGGCTTTTCCCGCCTGAAAATTTCAAAATTTGAATTTCAAACTTTGAATTTTGACACGTGTTGCGCATCAACCGTAGTAATGATGCGTTGTCAGCCTACCCGTTCGCCTCCCCCATGCGCTATCATTGCGCCGCCTGACGCGGCGTATTCTCAAACAGCCACATCACTCCCTATGGCCTCTCTCCTCCTATATAAAGAGCTCCACCCCTCTCCATCTCTCACTTTTCACGACTTGAGTCTCCAGAGCTTTCACTAGTCGAGTTCTCTTCTTTCGCCTCCCAGCCTTCCGAGTCAAGTAAGCTTCCTTTCTCTTCTTTGAATTCTTCCCGGTTATGTCTTCCTTAGGTAGCGATAGGATTTCGTCCTCAGATGGCTCCTCATCTGAGGGCTCTACCTCTTCTTCTTCGACCGGGTACTTTTCTTCTTATTCCTTACCCGGTCAGGTTCCTAACTCTTCTGTCCCTGAGCCGCAGCCTGTTAATCAGGTTCCCGGTCAGATGTCCGTAAAGAGGGATGAACCGGTTGACAACGAACCGGGTCCCTATGATCCAGCCAATGAATCTTGGGAGGAGTGGGAAGAGCGGCTCCATACTGCCGGCTACTTTCCACTCCCCAGTTATTACGTCCTTGACATTTCCTCCCACGTATCCAAAATCGCCCTTAATAAAGTTCGTAGAAGGCTCCCGGATGGGTACGTCCTTCAGTACGAACATGACTGGCCCAATATAGTTGGACCCCACTAGGAGAATAGGATAGGGTTCCATATTGTTTATCTGGATGGGGGCATCGTTTTTCCCCTTCGCCCCCTCCTGACCGAAGTCTGCCATGCGTTTAGGTTTTTGCACGGTGAGCTAACTCCTAACACACACCGTTATCTTCATTCCTTTGTAGATATCTGTTCTCATCTCATAATTGAACCTTCCCTGTGTCTTTTGCTTTATTGTTTCGAAGTCCTACCGAGTGGGATCGGCTGTGAAGGCTTTGTGTACTTCAAAGGTCGCGCCGGTAGGAAATTCATTTCCGACGTCCCCCAAAGTAACTGGGGATGGAAGAAAAAGTTTGTTTTCATTGAATTCCCACCCTATGTCACCCCATTGGCCGGTTTGAAATGGAACGATCACCTTCTCAATCACGAGTATACCGTGTCGGCCTCCTCCCCTGATCTCGAAGCGAGCCTGGAGATCCTCCTCCATGGGAATCCTTTCACTGGGAGGAAGTTCCACTATAGGAGCTGGGTTTGGAGGATCCAACCGAGTGGTGAGGGTACCTCCCAAGCCCATGAAGCAGCGGGGCACGGGGTACCCTCCCCGGGCAACACTGCAGAGGCTGAGGGCCAAAACCACCCAGGTACTTCTAATTAACCTTGTACCTTTTTAAGCTTTGACCGGTGTGGTTTCTTATACTTAGTGATTTTTGCTGCTTTTTGCAGACATGGAGTTCGAGGAGTTCGACATCCCCAACGATCAGCCGGCAGGAGAGACCGAAGGCTCCCAAGCTGCCTCCGCCAAAACTTTCCCGGTCAACCAAGAGACCGTGGAAACTTTTGACGAGGATAAACCCCAAGACAACCGGTCGAAGGGGAGGAGCCCTCCCAAGGGCAAGGAGAAGACCAGCTGGCGAACGAAGAAGGTGGCCACCACGCACTCTTCTTATGCTAAGAAGAGGGCGAGGTCGGATTCTGAGCCGGCTTCCATGACAATCGAAGAGGCCTTCATTAATCTCGGGATGAGGCTGAGGGAGGTAAGGCATACTATTATCCCGGTCTAAATCTTCTTTTTCCCTTGATGAGAGTCTAACCGGGGTGTTACATGTGCAGGCAGGGGAGATTGGTCCCCATACAGCTGAACAACTGGGGATGGGCTCTCCAACCGAAATGGCCCGGCTGAAGAAGGAGAATGAGGAGATGGCCCTCATTCTTAAAATCCAAACAGATGAGCTGGTCAAGCTGTTAGGTATGGCCGGTTCTATGGGAGCTGAGATCACCAGGCTAAAAGAGGAGAATGGTCGGCTGATGGACGAGGTCTCTGACGTGAAGCAAGAGATGGCGAAGAAGGACGAGAACATCCACGGGCTTGTAGCTGCTTGGGTGGAGGAAAATAAAGCTGAAGCTGCCCGGGTGATGACGGAAACTTTGGAGGCCGCCATGGAATCCTTCAGGTTTCTGTACCGGGAGCCTGAGGGAAGGAAAATGAGTATCGTCGTTGGATCTTTTGGATTCAAGAGTGGCCAAAAGAAGGACTGGATTGCTTCCCACCGAATCTTGCTGAAAAGAGACCAGGACTTCACTGTTGCTGCCTACGGCTTGGCCCCAATTCCGGAGGAAGAGCCTACTCCCCCCTAGAGTGATCTGCCCGGCTGCGCCCGATTGTTTCATTTTGTAAAACTTTAATAACTCTAAATTTTCCCGGGTATGCCCGGTGTATTTTGAAAACATTTAACATTCAACTTTTATAGTTCAAATGAATGTTCGTTTTTCTACCCGGTCATAATTGCTCCTTCGAATGCTTTTTGTTTGCTATCTTGCTTCTGCTCCTTAGAGTGTCTTCATAGGTATTTTAACCGGTGCACATGCGATTATTTCTTCACATCTTAGATCTGATTAACTTCTGGCGGCAGAACATCAACATTTTTGCGTTTGAATATCTCCCTTTTGATGAATAACTCCAGTTTAACCGGTATGTCTCTTCTTCACAGAGAGACCGGTTAGATGATTCGCCTCGAACTTTCGAAGTTCTGTTCTATCAATACCCAACCGGGGTATTCCCTTTTTTTTGTTTCACCGGTAGGTTGTAGATGGAAGCACCTGTAACATGCAAAATTTTTGAAGTATTCTTAACCGGTAAGAATACTAGAGATTTAACCATGTCGAATGGTTTCAAACCCTCTCTAAGGCTCAAATGCACCCTTCTTCCAGGGCCCCCTCTTCCGGGTGATTAAGTCTTTTGATGGCCCTTTGATTTCTACTCTCCCGGGAAGGCCTTAGCTCACCCCCCGTTCAAGTCTTCCCTAAGAAGGGGGAATCCGAACCGGTCGAAGTAGGATGCGTCACGGTGAACGGTCCCTTTCTATTTCTTTTAATGGGCATCTTTTAATCCCCAATCAGTTTGACGGTTTCGACTGAATCCTCGATATCGGTCAAACCTCATGGGCCCGTGTAAGTACGGTTCGAACCTTCTTCCAGGTCCAGCCCTCTTGCAGGCATACCCCTCTTCTAGGGCCCCTCTTCCGGGTTTATTATTATTTTTATTTTATACTGAGCAAGACCTGTGTAGTAACCAGCGTGTCAGGTCCGGGCCTGTGTCTCAGTTGGCTTATCCGAGTGGATTCGATCCACCCGGGAAGCCCTCCTAGGATAGGTTTTACCTATCACTTCCTCTGCTACCAGGTAGAGTGTTGAACTTCATCAATTCGATTGATAATAGAAGTAGGCCTCGCCTAGTATTACAATCATTTGTAGAATTTTCTGAGATGATGAGAATTCCGAGTTCGTTCTACCAGTATACCGTCTAGGGTTTCTAACCGGTAGGTTCCTGGGCGAATGATAGCTTTCACTCGATAAGGGAATTCCCAATTTTTTGACAGCTTCCCCCATCACCCGGTCTACTAGCTTCCCTTCTTCGTAAAACCTCATCTCCGACTTGAAAATATCACGGTCCAACTTTGTTGTCATGATATTTTTAACAACTTGTTGGTATGTGCTCATCTTTACTTCCGTAGACATCCTTCGTTCTTCAACCAAGTTGAGTTCGGCCAGGTGATCTTCCTCATTCTGTTGGGGTTTGTAGTTTGTTTCCCGGAATGTTGGGAATTCGGCCTCGATGGGTAGCGTTGCTTCACATCCATAGGTTAGGGAAAATGGAGTTTCCCCATGAGCCCTCCTGGGTGGTACCCGAAATGCCCATATGATGTGTGGAAGCTCTTCCAACCACTTGTTTCCTGCCTCCCCTAGCCGTTTCTTCAGACCATCCACAATCGTTCGGTTGGCATTTTGAACTTGGCCATTGCCTTGGGGGTATTCCACCGAAGAGCGATTGTGTTTGATTCCAAAACCCTCCAAGTATTCAGTGAATCTCGGATTTTGGAATTGCGGGCCGTTGTCGGTGATGAGATTCATGGGAGCCCCAAACCTTGTGATGATGTTTTTCTAAATGAATTTCTTGCATTGTTGCGTGGTGATATTGGCCAATGCTTCTTTTTCGATCCATTTGGTGAAGTAATCGATGGCCACGATTACAAACTTCTTCCTTTCTTGAGCGACTGAGAATGCTCCAACGATATCAACCCCGAATCTAGCAAATGGGATGACATTCGATACGGGGTGATAGTAGGTTGCTGGTCTACTCGGAAATTTGTAGAACACTTGGCATGTTCGGCATTTTTGAACGTACCATTCACAATCCTGGACACTTGTTGGCCAGTAATACCCCAACAAGATGATGCGTTGGGAGAGGGTACGGGATATTTGATGTGCCGCGCATATACCTTCATGGACTTCCGCTATGACTCGCTCTACTTCCCGGTTGGTCAGGCATCTCAAGAGTGGTCCCCCGAATGCCCTCTTATATAACATTCCGTTAATCACTTGAAACTGGGGTGCCCTAAGTTTTACTTTTCTTGCCCGGTCATCTTGTTCTGTCAAGCTTCCATCTGTCAAATATTTCATAAGGTCACTCATCCACCGTCGTCTGCCCCGATCGTGTTTGACCGGTCAGATTGGCCTGCCGCTGCTATAGTGGTGACTTCCAGTTTCTTGATGCTGGCACGATCAAGGATTTCTACCCGAGCAAGTTTTGAAACATGCTCGGGGGCATACTGCGTCAGTTTGGAGAGGAGGTCCGCGTCCGCGTTTTCCGCCCGGGGAATCTGGGCGATTTTGAATTCCTCGAAGCCCTTCAACAAGGCAAGCACTAGGTCCTTATATTGCGCCATTCGTTCTTCCCTTGCTTCCATATTACCGGTCACCTGCCCAACAATCAGGCTAAAGTCAGATTTGATACTGACCCGGCTGATTTTGAGAGCCTGAGCAAGCCTGAGCCCTCTAGCTAGAGCTTCATATTTCGTCTCGTTATTCGTTAATTTGAAGTTGAAGACAAGTGCATGGTATATCTTGAACCCTTCAGGGGTGGTAAACATTATTCCACCCCCATACCCCCTTTAGGACCAGATGCTCCATCTAGTGCCATCTCCCACCATTGTTCAGTGGGCTTGTTGACCGGTAGGTCTGGAGTTATAACGGTCATTTCCACCAGAAAATCTGTAAGGGCTTGTCTCTTGATTGCTGATCTTGGCCGGTACTCAATGTTGAATTGAGTTAACATCATTGCCCACTTCACCATCCTCCCGGAGGATGTTGAATTTCGCAATACTACTCCCAACGGTTGGTCAGTCAAGACTTCAACTGGGTGAGCTTGGAAGTAGGATGTTAACTTTTTTTCGGAGATGAAAAGCGTGTAGGCTGTTTTCTCCATCGCCGTATATCTACTTTCTGCTCCGTTTAGTGCTTTGCTCACATAATAAATGGGCTTTTGCGCCCCATCATCTCTTATTAAAACGGAACTTACAGCATTTGGAGAAATTCCTAGGTACAGATACACAGTTTCACCCGATTCGGGTTTAGAGAATATGATATCCGACACTAGGTACTCCTTTAACTCTTCAAATGCCCTCTAGCAGTCTTCATCCCATGCAAACGTGTTAGCCTTCTTCAGGACTTTGAAGAAGGGCAGGGATCTCTCAGCTGACCAGGAAAGAAACTGGCTGAGGGCCGCTAGACGATCGGTCAACTTTTGAACATCCCTAACAGAAGTAGGGGCTTGCATTTCAGTGATAGCCCGGATTTTCTATGGGTTGGGCTCTATTCCTCTTTTGGTCACCATGAATCCCAAGAACTTCCCGGTACGAACCGCGAAGACGCATTTTTTAGGATTCAACCGGAGGTTATATCTTGACATGATATCAAACGTTGCACGCATGTCAGCCGGGTGGTTGAGGGATACCTGGCTTTTAATTAGCATGTCGTCGACGTATGCCTCCATGGTTTTCCCTAGTAGTGGCTTGAAGAGTTTGTTCACCATGCCTTGGTAAGTTGCTCCTGAGTTCTTCAAGCCAAACGCCATCACCCGGTAACAGTAGGTTCCTTCGGGCGTGAGGAATGACGTCTTCTCCTCATCTTCTTTGGCCATGAAAATTTAGTGGTAGCCCTTGAAGGCATCCATGAAACTTAGGAGTTCGCAGCCCGCAGTTTTGTCCACCATTTGATCAGGGCTAGGCAAGGGGTATGAATCCATCGGACAAGCCTCTTTTAGGTCTGTGTAATCCACACACATCCTCCATGTGTCACCCTTGGGAGCAAGGACCACGTTGGCCAGCCAAACCGGATATTTGACTTCCCGGATGTGACCAACGCTGAGGAGGTCTTTTACCTCCTTCCGGACGAAGTCTCATCGGTCACTGGCTAGGTACCTCTTCTTCTGGCATACCGGTCGACTTCCATCCCTCACTGCCAGCCGATGGCAGATGATTGAGCGGTCAATCCCAGGCATATCTGCCACGCTCCATGCAAATATGCCTGAGTACTCTTAGAGGACCCGCGTAATCTCCGCCTTGAGATCTTCTGGAAGATTTGCTCCAATTCTGACCGTCCTTGAATAATCACCCGGGTGAAGTTCGATTTCCACCGTCTCGGCCTCGGGCTCAAGTTTCTCCCTAGTCTCTCCCTTCGTGATTTCTTAGGAGATGACATTGACCCCCTTAGTCATCTTCTTGACCGCCCGGGCATAGCACTCCCGAGCGTTCCTTTGGTCGCCTCTCACCTCTCCCACACCACCTGGAGTGTGGAACTTCATGCATAGGTGAGACATGGAAATCACCGCCCGGACTTTGTTGATGTTCGGTCTTCCAAGGATTGCGTTATGGACGCACTTGATGTCCACAACGATGAACCGCATCTTCTTCCATACAGTTTTGTCACCCGATCATAGTTCCACCGGTAGAACTATGGATCCTTCAGCTTCCACGGTATCTCCCGTGAAGCCTGAGAGAGGAGTCTTTAGGGGTTCAAGTTGTGTCCGACACAACCTGAGTTTCTTGAAAGTCTCCAGGTACAGGATGTTGACACCACTGCCGATGTCAACTAGTACCCAGGCGACATCCACCCCGTTAATGTCCATGGTGATGACCAAAGGATCATTATGGTCATCACAAGTAGCTGGAAGGTCCCGGTCAGTGAAGACGATCGGTTCCCTTCTCGTTTGCTTTCGCCTGACCGGGCCAGCACTTACTTCTCCAACGTAACTGCTGCGGACCCAGTTATTTCGCTGTGCGGCTGAATCTCCACCTTCAGGTCCGCCGAATATCATGCCAATGTGTTCCTTATCAGGAGCAAGCTACTACTCCCTTTGCCTGTTGTTCCTCTGCCAGTCATTGTCCCGGTCATTCCCCTGGGCTGCTGGCCTGATCCATTGGTGGCTCTTCTCCTGGGCTTTTTGGAAATAGTCTTTGCCCAGTTTTCCGCTGTCTATCATTTGCCGGATGACTCCCTTAACACACTTGCACTCGGAAGTGTTATGGGAATCTGACCTATGGAACGAACAATACGTGCCCGACCATTGTCGTCCCAGTTGACCTGTAGGATTTTCCAGAGGATTGACCGGTGCTTTCCTTATCTCCTGGCACTCCTCTGTATTGACCACGCGAACGACCGGGTCATAGTGGTGCCTTGGGCGGCTAGTTCCTGATGCTTCTTCCTTCTTTATCTGCACCGGCTTGGGCTTGAATCCAAGTTAAGCCTCTTTCTTTGCCCGGAGTTGGGTTTTAGCCTCCGCGAATTCTCATTCCGTGTGGTAAGCTTCTTGATACGTGGCCGGGGGTTTTTGGCAGAACTCTTTGTATAGTTCCCCGGCCCGTAAGCCGTTTAAAAGGAGAGACAAGACCGTCTTGTCATCCATCTCCTCAACCTTGTCCACCTCTTCTTTCCACCGAGTGAGGAATTGAGTGAGATTCTCAAATTCCCTCTGCCCGGCTGTACTAAGATATGTGAATTTCTTCCACTTAGTACAATTCTCCTGGAATTTGGCCTTAAATTTTGAGGCCAAGCCGCTGAATGAATCAATGCTTCCTGGGCGAAGCTTGTTGAACCATTCGGTCGCTCGATTCCGCAAGGTTTGGAAGAAAAGAAGGCCCTTTTCTTCGTTTGTGCAACTGTTCATGCTTGCACTATGATTGAAGGTATCTAGGTGAATTTCTAGGTCTTCCTTCTCGGTGAACCTTGGGGCGTCTATCTTGACCTTTCGCGAGAAAGGCGTCAGATGGACCCTTGTAGTGAACGGGGACCCGGCGAGGGGTTCGTCCCGGTCATTCTTCTCCCAGACTTTCTTCTCCAGTCTCTCCAATTTCGCCTCCATCTGCTGGATGCGATCATTCGGGGTGGTTAGCCGGTTAGCCACCGGCCCACGGGGCTGACTTTCTGCTTCTTCTTCCTGGCGGGAGGCCTTCGTTTTCGCTGGCTCCTGCCGGTTTGACCGGGAGCGCTGGGTACGGGCAGGCTCGGCCTCCCTCCCCTTGCCTAGCCGGGTGAACGCACTAACATGGGCGACGCTCTGCCCCAATCTCAGCTTGGCTGACTTCCTCTAACCTTCTTCCCTATCCCCCAGCCTTTCGAAGGCGAAGTTTCGGGAAGTTGCTCTTCGGATGGTTTTTCCTTTCTTCTTTTTGTGGGTCCTGGGGATGTCCCACTCTTCATCATCACTGGCGGCGTTAAGTGCACCGGTCAAATTGATGGGGGCCACAATGCTAAACAACTGCGGCTGGAAAGGCGATGGCTGTGGTACTGGCGTCTGGAAGGGAGATGCCGCCATCGGAGTTTGCAGGGGCATTGTTCCAGCCTGGGAGGGCAAATGGAAACATGCCTGGGAGGAATGGCATCCCCCCATTCTGCTGACACATGGCCATGACCTGGCCAAAGCCTTGGATGGCTTGCAGATTGGCTGGGTCATTCATGAACTGGGTCATGCTTGGTGGGAACGTGACCGTCGGTCCAGCAGAAGGGACAGGGATCGTGAACGGGCTGACCACGCTGGGTGTTCGGATTGAACTCAGACCCAACGGCAACACAGGAGCAGAAACGGCCGGTTGGGTCGCAACCGTGGGGATGCTGACCCCCTTAGTGGTGGCTTGCACTTGAGCAGAGGTAGCGTTGATTTGTTGGCTTGAAGACATTTTGAGTGGTGTTTTTTGTGGGTAGGTTTGTGTTTAGATGAGAAGAAACCTTAACGGTCCCACGGTTGGCGCCAAAAATGATGGTGTATATTACCTAACCGGGTAAAATGATTGTGTTTAGTCCTCTCTTTTAACCGGTCCTGGGTGGAATACATTCATCATACATACATACATACATACATACATACATACATACATACATACATACATACATATATATATATATATATATATAATATGTTTAAACCACTGGTTTGACCTGTCAACCAGTACCTGGACTGGTTCGGTCACCGATCCGATTCTTAAATCTATGATTTGAGTCGTTTAGATAGTTTTGAGGTAGTTTTGAGGTGATAGAATTATATTGTTTAAATAGACTGAATGATGCCCCCTCCCCAGCCTTAGACCATCGATGTAGTAGAAGGTAATCTAGCTAAGCCTTAATGCGGTTGGCTTCAACTACGAACAATTTTCCATATTGACTTACAAAATAAATAGTATTTCTTCCGTCCAAAAAGTGTGGTTATTTTGAGTTTTAAGAAATTTAAGGTAGAGATATTTTTGTGTTGACTTTCCAAAAATACCTTTGATGAGATGGATCAAAGTAGGATGTGATATGTAGATAATTAGTAAAAATGTATGATAAAATAGTTAGGTTTAGAATTAATAGAGGTAAAAATAATTTTTTTAATAAAAATAGAAAGAATTTTGTGTGACAAGTTTTAAAAAAAGGTGAAGGAGTTTTTTAGGAGGTAGTAGAAAGTACAAAGTAAATGAAGTAACTAATTAAGGGTGCAAGGTTAATTTCTCACATCAAATCAATCCACTAATCCAACTCTCCTAGCCACATTCACTATCCACACTTATTGTTGTCTATCATTATTTTTTCTTGGTTACCCTTTTTGCTTTGCCATTGCTAGAGATAAAAAGCTCATAACTTAAAATTTAAAAGACCATGCAACATTTATAACAAAAATTGTACTCCATTTGTACACCGCAGTTATACACAAACATTTTGATGGTTTACACCGACACAAATGTTGGTGCGTTAACAAAAATTTACACGGACACAAAATGTTGGTGCGTTTATAAATATTAGTTTTATACCAACACAAAATGTTGGTGCAAAACTGCGGGGTACAAAGTGCGGTACCAAAAGTTGGGTTACAAGTAGCTTTATCCAAATTTATAAGAGAAATTTACCTAAATAGATTAAAACATAATGACTTTCCCAATATAGGACCATATGTTTTTATTTCTCAATCTAGGACCTTTGGTCATTATCAAGTAGTCATTATTCAACTAAATGTTCATGATTACAGGATATTATTCTTTCAACTAGGTCATTATTAAGTTCTATTTAGGGAATAAAAAAGTTTAAGTCCTATATTAGAAAAGTCATTATGTTTTATCTTATTTAGTGCAAATTTCATATAAGTGATCGTGGCACTAAAATTAAAATATAAGTCCATCAAGAGTACTTTTTATCCAACTTGTGTGATATTTGGATCTATTTTTGGCAAGAATGATGTGTTGCCATGTCATTTTGGTTTTGGGCTTCAATAAGTCGAAATGTGGGCCTCAATATCCCACTTCTCAAAGAACTTTACAACTTTCAATAATTATATATGGGAGGGTACGCAAGGGACAAACAAGTTCACGGACATGGTGCCAAAGGTTTCTTTATGATCAAGCACATACAATATATAAATAAATACTATAATTTCTTCGTCTCAATAAAATGCTTTTGTTTCATTTTTTTGCATATTTAATAAAACACTTATACCTATATATAATGTCTAAAATTTACTTAATTTCTCCTTTACTATGGGTAGAAACTATATGTTTTGAAGGTATTTTAGAAATTTAAGGTGAAGTTTTTATGGAATGCGTAAAAATGAAATACGAACATCTTTTAGGGATGGAGCTAGTGCATAAGTAATTGCAATTTTTCATAGAAAAATAGATTGAAATCAATAATTATTTAAATATACATTTTACAGATAAAAGAAGACTTTTCTAGACCTTCAAAAATCATCTTCTTACGATGAACTTTAATTAACTGGACACAAAAATAAACCGTGAGCACATGAAAATGATAATAAAAAAATTAAAGAAATTAGATCGTCAATATTAAGAATAAAAGTAATGCTGGTTATTAGTTTGACTTGACACAAAATTTAAAAAAATAAAACGTGTGGTTAAAAATGATTTAAAGGAGAGAGATAAATATTATGTCACCGTCGGCCACCAAAGTGCCACTTACAATTGCCGACGTTGATCAAAGGTCTTGTGTTTGTTGACTGGTCACATTGCCTTATTACATTGTTACTTCCTCCATCTCATAAAAATATTCCCATTTTGACTTTTAGAAAATTTATGGAAGGGATATTATTGTGACAACTTTCCAAAAATATCCTTGATGTGATAGGTAAAAGTAAGATGTGATGGATAGATTATACAAAGAAATACAAAGTATAAATTTTATTTATGGGTGAAAAGATTTTTTCTATTTTAGTCTAGTAATATATTAATTTTTTAATTTTATAATGTAGTTATTGAACTTGTATTGTTTGTTTTTTAAATTTACATTATTAATTAAATAAATAGAATACAATCTAAATTCATTTTAACATATAATAAACAAATACTTGTATGAAAGTTATTTATATGTAAAAAATCAACTTATTTATTAATTAAATGTTTTCTTATAAATAAATTAAAGAGAGTAAGAAATATTTATTGAAATTACATATAGTATTTTGTTCTATTATAACAAAATTATAATATAGTTATCTTTTCTTTTATAAATAATGTAATGTAATTTTTAAAATATATTATTTGTTTTTAATTTTTACATCAATATTGCAATAATTATAATAAAAAATAACTTTTTATTAGAATAATTAGAATAAGAAGTAACTTAATTATAACATATAACAAATAAAATACTCATATTACAATGATTTCGAGATAAAAAATGAACTCATTTATTAAATGTTTTTTTGGGATTTGAAAGTGTTTTTATAAATGAAGATAGAAAAAGTTATTAAATAATGAAATGATATTATCTTCAAATTATATTATCTATTAGTTAAACAATTTTTTTATATATGAAAAGAGTAAAAAAAAAATACTATATCGAAGGGGGTGGGGGTATGTTCGGGTCGGGGTGGGGTGGGGGAGTCTACCAGAGGTAGGAACCGTAAATTTTACGAACGGGGCACCAGAGCACTCCCGGATAAACCCATGACATTGCCGAGCAATGTCATGAGAATCGTCCCCCTTTTATATACACTTACTCTGTCGTCTTTAAACACACTTCATTCTTTCTTTTTCAGACATTCCAAAATCCAAAATAATATTCACCTTTCTAAAAATAAAAGAATTATGTGGTCAAAAAATTCCTCTCATAAAATCCTAACCTCTTATTTTACTTCTCAACATTTTTCTAAAAGTGTCTATGTGTAAGTATGTATGTATATATGTGTGTGTGTGTATGTATATGTATATATATATATATATATATATATATATATATATATATATGGATAATTTAACTAAATAGGTCTAAAACAAGGATATGATATGTTGGTGGGTAGTAGAGAGATGCATAACCAAAGAAATTGAGTTTAAAGCAAATTCACAATACCTAAGCATTGGTTTGTGTTATCATTGTTCTTTAAAGAAAGACTGCAAATCAGAGTAGTTTATTCAAATTAATGTGGCTTGAGTAATTTTATTCAAATTAATGTGGCAAGAGTAACTTGATTCATTTGTAATGATTTTGGTATTATGAATGGAGTATATTCAATTTAAATAAACGGCACTTAAATTGTTTTGAAGCATTTCAATAGTAAGAAAGAAGAGAGTTAAAATCTCAAAAATGTACTACTCTTATTTTAGAAGGAATGTGAACTACAAACTTTAATTGAAACGAAGTCTTGATTAGACTGGTTTCATTGGGAAAGTGATATGATTGGACATCGTGTCAAAAAGTTTAACGTGAATTGTGTAAAAAGAAGCAGAAAATTACTCCAAGGTACCCTCAATTTCTAGTAAGCACTCTCAGGTCTCATATTATTTGAAATATACTACAGAGATCTTTAGAATTTGTGATAATATACTCCTTGCATTGGGTACATTCCATCTATTCGATCGTTAGAATTAAAAGTTTTGGGACATTGATAAATACTAAATTTTACCTTCATAATCATTATTTTATTAAATTTAAATAAAATTCTTTAGCTTAATTTGTCAAAGTAAAATAAGTTTCAATCCGGACACCTAAATGGATGGAATGTATCCTTGAAGTATAATATCACAAATTTTAAGGATTCTGAAGTATATTTCGGATAGTAAGGTACCTGAGAACTCTTAGCAAAAAATTTGAAGTACCTCATAGTATATTTTATATAATGTGGGATCTAGGAGTCATTACCAGAAAATCGAGGAGAGCAATTTTCTGTAAAAAAACGTGCATCATCTTGTCCAAGAACAACAAAAATAATTAACCCAATCGATTGGTCAAAAATCTCTATTTCTTTAGGTTCATCAGTTCACACAATTTTGAAGGAAAAATATATTCTTCACTCTCATAGAAAGAGGCTCAAAAAGTTAATATGTACTCAGTATTTCATTAAGACAAATTCCCAAACACGAACCACATAACTTTTTGTTCAAATTAATCTTCACTATTTACAAAACCAAGATGATTTTATGTGTCGAATTGGAAAGTTTCACCGGGCAAGTAGTTTAACGAATTTACCTATTTTAATTTTTTAATTTAATTAGATTCCAGCTATTGTTACACAATTTACTTATTTAATTTTTTTTCTAATTAAAAATAGTAACCGAGTTAGTGGCCTAATTAATTAATTAATAGGAGTTGGAGGCACAATTTATGATCAAAATTTTAGTTTCATGTGAACTAGTGAATACTATAGAAAATTATTGTAATGTAGATAGTGTGATATTGAATTAATTTAATAATAATAAATAAAATACCAACACACAAAACTATATTCAGTTCTAATTGTAGTGTTTGTGTAATTGTGTGTAATTTATTGTTTACAAAAATTATTTGTATGTGTAGAAAGGTTAATTTCATTAATTGAATATGTGGGAGTACATGTCTATATACACACAAGGGTTCCTAATCCTATACAAGGTAGGAGTCAATAATAGAAAACGATATATTCCTAATCCTATACAAGGTAGGAGACAATAATAGAAAACAATATATTTACATTAAATATAGAATATATTTAACATGCTCCCGGCTACGTCGGATGAGGAGGGGGTCTGATACCCAGACTGGACTTAAACTCGAGGAAGAGTAGAGAAGGTAGTCCTTTGGTGAAGATGTCAGCATACTGTGAAGAGGAGGGCACGTGAAGGACTCGGATATGGCCGAGTGCTACTTTGTCTCGCACAAAGTGTATGTCGACTTCAACGTGCTTAGTGCGCTGGTGCTGAACTGGGTTCGATGAGAGATAGACGGCGCTGACGTTGTCGTAGAAGACGAGGGTGGCGCGTCGTAGTGGTTGCTGGAGCTCAAGAAGAAGATTTCGGACCCAAGAAGTCTCAGCAACTGCATTTGACACAGCCCGGTATTCTGCCTCTGCATTGGAACGGGAAGTGGTGGCCTGGCGTTTTGAAGACCATGAGATCAGGTTGTCACCCAGAAAAATACAGTACCCGGAAGTGGAACGTCGGGTGTCGGGACAGCCAGCCCAATCAGCATCAGAATAAGCCTGGAGATAGTCTGTTGAGGAGCGAGTCAGGTAGATACCGTGAGTGGCGGTGCCGCTAAGATAACGGAGAACTCTCTTCATGGCCGTGAGGTGAGAGTCGTGGGGCGCATGAAGGTGGAGGCAGAGCTGCTGAACGGCATAAGTGATGTTAGGTCTGGTGAATGTGAGATAATGTAGAGCACCAACTATGGACCTGTAAAGAGAAGGATCTGAAAGTGCCGTGCCGGAAGAGGAAGAAAGCTTTGCCTTGGTGTCGACTGGAGTGGATATGGGGCGGCAATAGACCATCCCTTCCCTCTCAAGGATCTCATGAGTGAACTGTGTCTGATGGAGGAAAAGGCCCTGAGCAGTGCGATGAACATTAATGCCGAGGAAGAAATGCAGATCACCCATGTCTGTCATGGCAAAACTCAGCCTTGAGTTTCTGAATGAGACTCTGAAGAAGCCCTGGCAAGGAGGCAGAGAGGACGATATCATCAACATATAATAAGAGGTAGGCGGTCCCCGAGGCATGCGTGAAGACGAAAAGAGAAGTGTTAGATTTGCAGCTGGGGTGCATCCAATACTCTGAATGAAGCCTGCAAATCTGTGATACCATGACCGGGGTGCCTGTTTCAGACCATAAAGAGCTTTTTTGAGCCGGCAGACATGATGAGGGTGATTTGCATCCTGAAATCCTGAGGGCTGGCTAGCATACACGGTTTCCTGAAGCTGTCCATGGAGGAAGGCATTTTTGACATCGAGCTGATGGATGGGCCACCCACGAGACAACGCGAGGCTAAGGACGATTCGGACCGTGGTAGGCTTGATGACGGGGCTGAAAGTTTCGCTGTAGTCAACGCCAAAACGCTGATTGAATCCACGGACCACCCATTGGGCCTTATACCTGGATAGCTCACCGGATGGGCCAAATTTGTGTCGGAAGAGCCATTTACCGGTGATTATGTTTTGGTTGGGGGAGGGGGGTACTAGTTCCCATGTGTCATTCTTTAACAAAGCATTATATTCATCACACATAGCAGCATGCCAGTTTGGATCTTTCATAGCACTACGGTAAGTTGGGGGTAAAGGGGAGATGGAGGTGGTGGCGTGGAGGTCTAAAATTTGTTTTGGGCAGAAAACACCGGCCTTAGAGCGGGTTTGCATTGGGTGGGCGTTGACCGGTGG